AAATATAATATAAAATTGTAAAAATTGTAAAAAAGTGCATAAATAAATGTGCATTTAAACTCCAGAAATAAAGAATATCATTAATACTTGTAATAAAAAATAATACATTAGTACAAAAAATGATAAAAAATACTGTTCGTTTTAGGAGTTTCATTCGTTATAGCATTCTCAATTTTATAGGAAATCCGTTCGTTATAGGAATATTCGTAGTAGAATCCGTTCGTTATAGCATACCCCACTGTAATATGACTGTAAAAATGGAAAAAAAGAAGAGTTTATGTTGAAGAGAGTCTCAAACAAGATGTTCCTTCCACTGAACCGATACACAAACTGACGCCTAGCTTGGTGTGTTGAGTGGCTGTTTAGTGTGTGAAAAACTAGTTTCCTGTACTTCAATTATGTTCAATAATTGTTAAAATGACTAAAAAAATTAATATAAAACTTTTAAAATTATTGAATAGTACAACCTTCTTGATATTTACTAAAATGATAACAAATTTAAGCCCTAGAACCGAATACTGTATTGGTGGACTAATACTACAGCTGGTGAGCAGCTGAAAGCAAGTGAAAAGATGTTGGAAAAAAATTCGTAAAGAATTCGTTAACCGAAATTTTTTCGGTAACCGAAGGGAAGAATCTTATGGAAGGTAATTCGTTAACCGAGGCGTTCGTTAATCGAGGGATCACTGTATATATAAATCTATATACAGTCATGCGCGAACAACGTACGATCGCATATACGTCTGTAATACCCCAAAAACTTGGTGGCCTGCTGGACCACCACTCCATGACCCCCTGACGGAGACACGATGATCCTTCCCATACTGGCCAGATATTATGTGTTAAAGGAATATCCTTCCTTAGGCTTTAGTAAGCATTTGCCTGCAGGTGTAATGTTAACCTACTGTACATCTATTGAGGATAAAATCTTTCACCTACAAATTGACAATGACACATTTGCTGTAATCAGACATATCTATTTGCCTCAACAATTGCAACCCCAGTTGAAATTAGGGTTGCAATTTCAAATTCTGTGTCATTACTAAGGAATAACGAGGTCTCTGGTGCACTGCACTCTAAGATTAAGAGAAAACGGACTCAGGCATCCTGAAGCGAGAGAAAAGGACTCCTATGATGGGGGACACAAGCACGCACACGTGCCACTCATACTGACAGACTTGACACTCACTTACTTGACAAGTTTTACCAACCATTAGTTGTGTACATTATCTAGTGAATTTAGTCAATATTGCAATACAGTGGTCCCTCGGTTAACAATGGACCTAAGTGCCAACCTGTACTGTACATGTACTAAAATTGTTATGTCTATTGCAAATATAGATTGTTTATACAGGTATTCAAATAAATTACTATCTTACAAGAATCCCAGCAATGTAAGTTATATTCTCCCAGGTCGTTTGGGTGGCAAATTAGGAGAGGAGCTTAGTCACTCTTAAGTAATGATAAATAAACATGCAGGCCTTCAGCGCCAACTTCAAAACTTATGTCAAATAAATAAACAAACACCAGACACTCTACCACCTCACCTCCCACAACCCCCCCTGCGCCCCCCCTCTTCCCACACGCTCGCTGGCTACCTCCCTCCTTGTGTTCCCAGACAAAAGATTGGTGATTTCTTTATGTTTATTTTATATAATATCTCAGACTAAAGTTAGGATAATATAATTTGCATTGCTGAAATCCTTGCAAGACAGAGATTAATTTAAATATAAGCGTTATATATTTTGCTCAAGATATAAAAAATGTAGTACATTGGTGTACAATACTGTAGTACATTTATAATATAAATTTTTCAACTGTATTTTTGGGTAGATTTACATAAAATTCTTCATTTATTTTCATCCATTTACATGCACACACCATACTAAAAGAAACGCAAAAGAAATAAATGACGTTAGTGCAAAGCTGGAGTGCACATGTACTAATTTGATTACCACACTAAAATTGTTGTATCTAGTGCGAATTACAGCATGTTTATATACAAATTAATCACTATCGTACAAGAATCCCAGCAATGTTAATTATATTCTCCCAGGTCATTTCAATGGCATTTTAAAATGAGAGAAGCTTAGTAGGACTGTTAAATAAACACACAGAGATCTTTGGCTCAAAGTGTCAAACATATCACCTCAACCCCCCCACCCCTCGCTGGCTGGCTGTCTCCGTCCCTCCCAGCCAGGGTTTGAGGCTTACAGGTTTTATTTTATATAATATCTCAGACTAAAGTTAGGAGATTATAATTTGCATTACTGGAATCCTTGCAAGACAGCCAATAATTTGAATATAAACGTCATATATTTTGCTAAAGAGATAAAAATTGTTGTACATTAGTGTACAGTACTGTAGTACATTTATAATATAAATTTTTTCAACTGTATTTTTGGGTAGATTTACATAAATTTCTTCATTTATTTTCATCAATTTACATGCACACACCATACTAAAAGAAACGTAAAAGAAATAAATGACCTTAGTGCAAAGCTGGAGTGCACATGTACTAATTTGATTACGGTGCTAAAATTGTTATGTCTAGTGCAAATTATAGCATGTTTATATTCAAATTAATCAGTATCTTAAAGAATCCCAACACTGTTAATTATATTCACCCAGGTCATTTCACTGGCTTTTTATAAGAGAGAAGCTTAAATCACTTAAGAACTGATAAATATACACACGTTAGACCTTGGGCCGGTGCCAACTGTCAAACGTACTACCTCCCCTCCCCCCACTCCCCCTCGCTCGCTCTCTCTCTCCCTCCCTCTCTCCCAACTGCCCAGCGTTGCTGGAATCCATGTAAAACAGTGAATAATTTTAATATAAACGTCATGTATTTTGCACAACAGATAAAAATTAATCACCTGTATCACATTACAGTAGTGATTTAAGAGTAAAAGTGTATATGTACGTATAAGTATAAATGCAAAGTTTATGTGATGATTGGACAACGTCCATTGCGGTTAACGTCACATTTCCAAGAACGTATCTAGGACGTTAACAACCTTATAAAATGGCAGCAGAATATGAACTAAGCACACAAACCTAAGGCCTAAGTTACCCAAGCAATTAACCCACCCACGGAATGTGTCAGAGCATGATGCAATGTCTCGAAACTCCCGAAATATTTGTTCACATGCCCAGAATTTCTTGGAAGGCTGAAGATTCTTTCTGGCATTTGGAGAGTTCTGGGAACCAGAGCTTCTGGCTAATTGGGGAATTGCACTGTATTTATATATTAGAGATGGATGGTATAAAGGGGGCCGCTTCCGCTGTCACCATTTATATAGGGGGCGGATTTCTTATTAGTCGTTTCTTATTAATTTATCCCTGGATGTTAACTTTTAAACTCTTGAACCTGTTTTTCTCTTAATTTCTTACTTCATTCATTTTCTCCATTGGTTCACTAATCAACATGAGACAACTACTGTAGATATCTGCTATTTATCCCCAATCAGGTACAATAATAATACTTTGGCCCAATAACCGTGAGGAGTACACCAGGGTGTCACCCTGGTGTCACAACAACAAACGAAGATCGTTGTTAGGTCGGTTGCAGTCCGACACACTGAGAGGGAATTTGTCCCGCAGGCTTAGTTCCCAGGGTGCGGGACTCGCTCAATTTAATCGTGCCGAATTAATGATGTCCTGCAAGACAGCCTGCTGGTATTCAGACAGCCGGGTATTCAGCTAACACCCATTCTGTACCTGGAGATGCGATGAGGAAGAGTCACAAGTGTGTTAAAAGGTCTAACCTCAACTACACATAACCATACGTCTGGCAACGATACAGACGATACTTACTTTACTTTAATTATTCTTGGCACATGATCATTTCACTATGTTAAAACATGAGCACTGATATTCACAAAATTCAACAGAGTTAAACTGACTTAACATGACAGCGGGAAACAAACGTTCACATACTTGGAGATGCGATGAGGAAGAGTCACGAGCGTGTGAGTCTTCGTCGTGCATTCGTTTATATATGGGCATCTGGCAACTCAGCCATGTGTCAGACATGCCAGAAAGGCAAATTACGCAATGACAGAAATTACATTTAAATCGACTGTTGTACATTTAACTATGAAAATCAGTGTCGTGGGTCAGGTGAATTTCTCATGTCTCTTTTTATAATCTAATCAGAGGTTGAGCTTGCCATGAAAAAGTGATATGGACGTCAAATACACACACTAACAGCGCTACTTTTACAGGCTCAGCAAAACTACGCACAAGGGCTCTCTATGGGTATATGTTTAGATCTGGAGATAAGGAGTTTGACATATTCTTTTCTGGAGATTAATGACTTTTAATCTAGCTAACTCACACTAATTAAACTACAAACATCAGATTCCCCGACATTTAGGCATTAAAATTATCTAATTTCAGTAGTACAGTATACTTGGAAACTCTGGGATATCCCCCATGGATGATATTAGGAGATGCCATTCTTGCTGGCAGACTCAACACTCACTTATTTGACAAGTTTAACAAAAAACAAAGACAGTTGAAGCTTTCAGCATCACTCACAATGGTGTTCTCACACCCATTCACATTTACTTTATCGAGAGGTTGGTTTCAGGAAGTTAGAGAAAATGGACGGCACCTAAGCTAGGGAAAACTTGTTTCTTCCTTGGGATAACTCACCAGTTATCCACATGTTTTGAGGCGTGGAGCATAATATGAATCATCAGGTTTCAAACAGACCAGCCGTGTCATTTTGACAATGACAATGAAACATTTGCACCCACGGATATCAAATTTTCATATCCACATCTGTGGATGTCAGATATCTGACACCCGATCCATCACTAGTATAGACCCATGAATTTCTGAGCACATCACATAAAATGAAGCATTCAGGACTGTGACATAAAGTTGGATTTTGGGATAAGTTCTTCATTTTTTATGTACAGTACAGTACTGTAGATATATTGCATCACACATTTTCTCTATCATTCCTTTACATATGACTATTTTTCCAGGTACTGAAGTATCAAAAGTGTTTGCTGAGAACCACCCAATGAGTATTGCTGTAGAAGGCCAACCAGTGATAAAGAAAAAAAGAGGAAGACCAAAGAAAGGAGAGGTAATTGCTTATTCAATGAACTGTAGTTCAATAATTACTGTAATACTTCCCCCCCCCCCCTCAAAAAAAAAATATGATACTATACAATTAAGAGAACTGGGTACAGTAGCTCTATTGTAACCATCTACAGTACTGTACAGTACAGTACTTGTAAGGCTGTAACCCCACATGTAGTTCTTGGTGTTGGAATTTAAGTGTGCAGCAAGTCCTCTGTTTACATTGGTCCCACATGTGGTGTTTCACTGCATCACTGATGAGTAAGGAAAAATAATTCAAAATAAAATGTATTGTTTCACTACAAAATTGTTTTGAAAATAGAGAAATTGGAAATTTAAGGGAAATTTCTCGTGTGAAGTACAGGTAGTACTCATTTTTCATAAATCATAGCTGATTTGTTGCAATTTAATTATGATCAACATATTCAATTATCACAATATGTTCTATTTTATTACATTAGTACAGTATCATCATTATCACTATCACTGTTTTATGGCCATTTTCCATGCTTGTGTGAATTAGTCGTTACATGGTGCCTACCGGTCTGGAAAACCTTGAAGACTTGGAAATGTCAGAGAATTATTTTTAGGGCTGGAAAACATCGAAATTACAAGAATTCTGTTTGGGTAACTTGAAAAAAATGTGAATTGTGTTTTTTGTAGCTATTATTTGACCTGGATGTGCTAGAATGCTAAGTAAAAACTGGGTTGGTACTGGGTTGGTGTGGGTCGGAGTCAGTGACTCATCAGTTTGTCTACTAGTACTTTTGTTATCTGTGAAAAATAGATCATAATCTAGACATTGGAAAATGTACGACTCATTATAATATAACTTATAATTTCTTGTAATAGAATTTTGCTATGAAATTAAAATGTAATATTATACTTAATATATAAATAGAAGAAACATAAGGCACTTGTTGGAGTCTAGCACAATACAGGTTCACCACCAATTTTCCGGGAACTGATGGTCAGGCACCTCCTTTAGTCAGGACAAAATTATGAGAGGGCACTTAACTTCCCTCCCTCCCTCCCAGCCAGGGTGAAGGTAGTTTTAGGCTTAAAGTTTTTATCTTATAAAATGTCACAGACTAAACTTAGCAGAATATAACTTGCATTGCTGGAATCCTTGTAAGAGAGTGATTAATTTGAGTATAAACATCACATAGTTTGTACAAGAGTTGCAATTTTTAGTCTAGTGTAGTACAGTACATTTGTGTACCGTGTGTGTACAGTAATATTGCTCAAAATTATGGCCTTTTCACATTATTGTACATGTAATATTTGTTGAATTTAAGTTTTTAGCAGTCCATGGTGCTTTAGAGACACAGGTGGTGTTTATTTGTGGCTCAGAGGTGTATTGTTGAATTATTATTATCCGACCTCGGTTAGTCCGGCAAAATGGTGTACCTGTAATAAAAATGCCTATTGCTTTGTTCTCTTTTCAAAGACTGCTAGATCGGTTTGGGGTGGTCTTCAAATTTTTTTTTTGCTTTTGCTTTATAAAAGATTTGTCACATATACTGTAGTTAATTGACATTAGGAAATGCATTACTCATTGTGTTGCATAATTTCTTGTAACAAAGCTGAAAAGGTGTACCTGGAATTCTGATGAACTTGGGCAGAAAAACCTGGAAAAGTCAGGCAATTTAAGTGTGCTGAACTATGTGTTATAGTCTCTTGCAGCCTATCTTGTCAAGTTTTTACTCTGAGGTCTTTTCTCACAACTTCTTCCCATGTCATTCCTGGCCTACCTCTGGCTCTCATTAATATCTTGACCCCATTGGTCTTATCCATTTTCTCCAAATACCCAAACCATCTCTGCCTATCTCTGTGCACAACTTTCCAACACTCTGAGTTTCAATACTCAGTCTTCCTCTGCTCTTGACAGGGTTTCCTTCATCACACTTTACATCCACCACATCATTGTCATTTCATTTAACTTACGTCTGTGTATGTCAGCCTCTTTAACTGCTCATATCTCACTGTCATGCAAGTTCACACTTTTTTTTGCTCGCTCATCCAACTTTCCTTTCAAGCAAAAAGAAAGTTCTCTTGTCATCAATAAGGGCAACAGTTCCTAAATGGTTTTCAACCTTTTTTGACTCTTGCAACTCAGCTAGCTTCAGCACCATCTTCAGCACTAATTATGTCACCCAGGTAGCAGAACTCATTGACACAATTCAGGGATATTATCCCCTTTGTCAAACTTTTCCAGCTTTGCTGAGGCCACATGACTACTACACATTCAACACATTTAAAGTTAGCAACATCTTGGAGTCTGCTAATTTCACCACTGCACCTCTTGTGTAGCCACCTTTTACACTCACTGCATATTAGTGAATTACTACCAACACCATTCTTACAAATAACAAGTGACTATTTCTGCATTCCACCACAGGTCCTTCACATATGCCACGAATTAATAATTTAGTTTTTGCCACATTCACTTTCATACCCTTTGATTCCATTCTATCCTTCCATTTTCTAAGTTTCTCTACTACTGCTTTAGTCCTAGCCTCTGTCAACACTAAGTCAGCAGCATGCAATAACTCCCAGTGCAGATCATTCCAAAAATATTGTGATGGTGCCTCTAACACTATGGTATACAGAAGGGAGCTTAAGCTTGACTCGTTATTGGGATCCAACCTTACTACAAATTCATCATTTACTTCATGAGTTACTCTCACAGAGGTTCTCAAGCCCCAATACTTTATCATAACCTCTTTTACAAACAAGACTCTCCTAACTTTCTTTGCTCACTGCACTGTATCACATGATTTCTCCAAGTCCACTCATACAAATTACCGTACACTTTTCTGTCCTTTCCTAGATTGTTCTCTTGAAGTTGTCTGGCCATAAATATTGCCACTGTTGTCCCTTAACCCAAACTTCATTCCATGAATGTCCATTCTCTCTTTTATCAATTCCTCAATCTCTCTTTCCACAACTTTCATAACCAGATATGGCAGCTTCATAATCACATTTTCAGTCATTCAGCTGGAGCAATGCATTCCATAATAATTGCATTAGTCAACTTAGTCATCATTGGCATGACAAAATCGTCTGATGATTTCAACTTCCCTCAACTAAGGTACCTACAGCCATTCTTATCTTCATTTTATCAGTAATTATTCTTTTTTCACTCGTAACCCTGCTTAAACTAAAACTTCTCATTCACCAGTTGATCATAGTACAGAAAAACTTCATTAATCTGGACCTCGATTATTTGGACATTGCTTAAGGCCATCATCCCAATAGAACCCCCCCACCTTTTTTAATATTTATAGATGGATTTATATGAAATATGAACACTATTTAGGCTCTTCTAACAGTATATTTCCATTAGAATTTCAACAAATTCATCTGCTATTTTTTTTTAATTAACTTTTTTTTTTTTTTTTTTTTTTTAATTTTTTATAGCTGAAATATTGCACAACAAACACTTTTGATGGAATTTATTTGTGCATTTAGTATAAGGTACAAGGAGTCCCTGTTATAAGTGTCTTCATTATACAGTGGGGTATGCTATAACGAACGGATCCTACTACGAATATTCCTATAACGAACGGTTTTACCTATAAAATTGAGAATGCTATAACGAACGCAACTCCTACAACGAACGCGGATGAATATGGGACTATTTCGCCTGGCGCATGAATATTGTTGTACCGCGACCCACAACAAGAGCGTCAGGCGCCATCTTTGTCTCATTGTGTAGCCAGTGCACCACTGTTATTGTTGAAATTTCGTCTTTTGATGTGGAAATTCGCGTTATTTGTATTACTATTTTGTTATACAAGTATACAATTGTAACAATGAATCGTCCAAAGCGAGTGAGAAAGCTAATAACTCTTGAAACTAAGAAATAAATTATAAAGAAACGTGAGAATGGAAGAAGCATTGCGAAACTTAGTGATGAATATGGGATGGCTAAATCGACTATATGTATGATTTTGAAGAATAAAGGGGAGTTAAAAACTGTGCAAGTGGCTAAGGGAATCTTTAGACTTAGCAAAGCAAGGTGTAATGTGATTGAAGAGATGGAAAATTTACTCTTAGTGTGGATAAAGGAGAAAGAAATGGCAGGTGGTAACATTAGTGAAGCTATAATTTGTGAGAAGGCTAAACAATTGTTTGAGGACCTTAAAGCCAAGACTCCCAGTGGAAGTGATAGTGATGTGCCAGTGTTTAGGGGTACCTGCATGCTGAATAACACTAAGGTAAGATAAAGTACCATATTTTTTACATTTTCCACATAATTTTTTCAGTGTTAAGTGGTTGTATTTGGGGGCCTGGAACAGATTAATTCTATAACGAACGAGGTTCTGGAACCAATTACGTTCGTTATAGCATACCCCACTGTAAGTGGTTTTGCACGTAAGTGGTCAAATAATTGTGGAACTACACATAAAAAGCCCCCGAGGTATTCTGCATACTTAAGTTCAGTAATGGAAGCTGCCGACACCTTTGTTTCTGCCTAGAGTCATCTTATGTTGAAAAGACCCTTTATCTGGTACTCGATGTCTACCCCACCGGCTAAATTGGCACTGGCATGAGTAAGGAAGGCAGCCAAAAATGGAAAGGGTTGGTGCCAGTACACACCCTTGTTTAACCCCCGTTTGGATGGGGAAGAACTCAGACTGGGTGCCATTGTGCAGGACACTTCCGTTATCATGGAGTTTCCTCACAATGGCGATGAATTTTGATGGGCATCCAAAACGATTGAGGGTCCACCAGAGGCTTCCCTGTTGACCGAATTGATGGCTTTGGTTCTGTCGATGAAAGCCATGTACAGTAGAACGTCGGTATAACAAGAGATAAGTTCCAAGAGAGGTCGCTTTAAACCGAATTCGCACTAAATTGAAGTGTTGTTTCAATGGAATAATTTAGTATGGTACTTGAGAGAAACAAAATACTAAAAAGACTGAGAGTCTACCCAGATGCACCTCAGCACATCTCCTAGAATAAACAAAACATTGTTTTTTGTAGTATTATGTTAAA